GCTTACAAGCTCAGAAGACTGTATTTCATTTGGGTTTGCAGAGAGATTCAATCCTTCCGCTGGTTTGCAGACTTACTCTGTGTGCTGCATAACAAGGTACAATCAGAGCTTCTCTTAGTTTTGCAATTTTTCTTTCTAATGTTGACAAAATTAAGAAATTGTCATTCATCTTACAAATGTGGTCCATGCTTATAATAAGATAAAATTTTAAATATGGAGATAAATGGCAGAGAAGAAAAAGTCTCCAATGCCCAAAACTCAGAGACTAATTCTGTCAATAACATGTTACATTTCTTTCCAGATAGCCATGTTTGTGAATATGAGTATCTACCTATGGGAGAAAATATTTTTATGTAGAAATGTACTTACATATCTGCAAGGTAGTGAGAAAAGGCAGATGGTGAGAATTTCATTTCCCTCTTACTTGTTTGTCTTTATTAAAATTAAACGTTAATATACAAATGCACCATTGCTATGCATTTTTTAAATAAAGAAAAATCCTCACTGACTATGTACCTCACCCTGTCTAACTAAGCAGAGTCAATATGAGAAATTGTACCACTCCAGTAGAATGCTCTGAATTTTTTTTTCCCTTACTGGAGCATACCTTAGTAATTGTATACATAGAATTTCCTCCCTTTTGTAACTGTAAAGTATTTTGTAGCATGGCTGTTCAATGTCATTTCAATGTTGTCATTTGTGTATTTGTGGTATGTTTGAGTGTGATGTGTGTGTGTCGAGGATTGAAGAAAAGAGGGACCAAAAGCAATAAAGTGTAGCCAGAGCAAAGCCAATTATTACTAGATTCCTTATTATCTTTCAGAAAAAGGATGTATATGAAGACAACAGCTTTTTTGCCCCTTTGTTGATTTATTTCTCTTCAGATTATAGTTTTCTTCCTAAATTTATTTTCTTCCTAAATCAATATATTGATTCAAGATGTTTTTCATATTGTTTGCCAGTAGTACACTCTGCTAGTCTAGCAGGTTCCTCTATTTTTACAAGTGAAACTAGAGCTGAGGAGAGGGAAGGCAGGAAAAGGAACAAGTTCCTTTTCATTATTTCTTTTTGTTTATGTTGTTTTGTATTTTAATATTCCCCATAGATTCAGAAAGGCGCTACGAGGGCTCTTTGGGGGAAGTGTTGTATGGCTAAGTGCAGGGCTGGCAGTTTGGACCCACCAGCTATTCCATGCAAGAAAGATGAGGCTACCTGTTCTCATACACACTGACGGGCTCCGACACATTGTGCAGGGTTACGCTGAGTCAGAATGGACTCGGTGCAGTGGGCAATACTTTCAGATGCTCAGAACAGTTAGGGGGAAAAAATACTAAGAAATTTTATATGCTCATTTCCTACTATACATATTCTATACCACTATTGATCTTTTCAAAGAAATTATAGTCTTTATAAGTGAACTTGAGTAAAATTTAAGAATTCATAGGGATGGATATAATAATAACTAGATAAAATTTGGGAAATACTTCGATGAATGTGAGTGTAATATTTTGTTTGTTAGCTTTTGTATCTATAAAGATAAAGAA